ATTCCTTGTGTGTGTGTTAACAGACAGTTGGCCGTAAAAAAAAAAAAAATGTGAATCAAGAGACAGGAGTCTGCATGTTGCTGCTCGCATAGTTTAGCTCTCTGCTATTGTAACTCTACACTGACGGTATGATGGTAGTTCCTCTAGTATGAGGGAGGAGGGGTTGTGGTGGTGCCGGTGGTGGGGGGAGCATTTTCATTGAATGGTCTGAATGTCCCAAACTGGATTAACGTGTTGGTTTATATGGTGACTGTGCAGACACGTCATGGCATTGTGATCTTTAACAATCAAGTCTTTTGTCTGCAAAGAGGTGATGGATGAGTGGGAAATCTAAAATAAAGAGCTCAGTGATTTGGACGTGGAGAGTCAAAAAAGAGAAACGATCACCCCTGCGCTAGATGTGGATTAAAGTTTCATGTGCCCGAGCGGTGGCTAATAAAAAGTTTCATGTGCCTGAGCGGTGGCTAATAAACTCTGACAGCTATGTGTGCTCTCAGGGGAATCTTTTGGCACTGATTTGATTAAATTAGCCTTTGATTGTTTGGGCAGGCTGCCAGCGCTGGCAGACTTAAATATAAAATACAAATGCTTCAGAATTGATGGACGCGTCAGTGTGTCATATGTGCTGCAGCTGTGTACTGGTATCCAGGCAGACCAATACCAGGATAGATCAAGCTGACACTGAGCCAAGAGTCGGCCACTGCCAGAACACAGAAAGTCTTCGACTGTCTGTGCAGCCAGGATCAGTAGCTGCAAGGTTTCCCAAAAGCTCCGACCCTCTGCGTCAGCGTCAGGCCTGCTGGGATTCCCCCATGGCTCCGGCCCAGGCATGAAGTAATATGTGAGTTTTTTCCCTGCATTTTTGGCAGGATAACAGAGTTAAAGCCCCACGTGCCGCACAGGCCCTTCAGAAATGTAGGTTTTGGCACAGGAACAGCTGAACACCTGCCAAGCCATGCAGCTTCCTACTTCTTTAATAGCAGGCAAACTTGTGGTGTGCACACACAGCGCTTATACACACAGCAACACATCTCATGCTGGTATTTACAGGGGGATACTACTGAAACATTCTGGTAATACAACGTCGGCTTTAGGCCAAAGCCCACACCCTTAAGCCCTGAAGGCTGATTTGAATGTAGGGACAACATAAAACGTAACCTTTATAACCCTGCAGAGGATTATAGTTATATATATAAGACAACAAACAGGCGTCAGACCTGTTCGTCTTGTCTCTGCATGTTTGTCATTAATGCACGCCACTAACCAGTTTACTGGCAAACTGCCAGTGACTGCCGCTTACTCAGCCATGTTGCTCACAGGCAAACTGAGTACGCTATTTGCATATTACACTTACAGCTTCCAAATGTTCTTCAAATACCCTCAGGCTGAGATCAGGCGACCGACAGGAAGCTGTGCAGATTTCTGCTTGTAAACGTTTGAATGACAAAAAGGCCCGCCTTTCATCTTAATATGTACGTTAAATACTCTTAAACAAGAAGGTGACAACCTGCCAACAAACAGAACTCCAAGATGGGATGAACATGACTGACACACAGGCCTTTGTGTGAACCGGAGTTTGTCAGATCACTTGATGAGAGAAGGCCAGGGGGACGAGTTCACAAAGAGCCCGGCAAAGCAATGGAACAGAACATAGAAGGACAACCCCAATCCAAATACATGACTTAAAGAAGTGGAGATGGCTGATGACCAATGGGCCATTATAGGTCAGCAACGCCCGATATCAAGCGGCTGTTGAGCAGATATCTAGATTATTCTTTTCAAGGATGTACCCATTTAATTATCTTATGCACAGTCAGAAAAACGACGCAAAGCTGCGATCAGTAATGAAAAGATTTAACTCGTGCTGACGAACAGTTTGAGTGCTGTATTAAAAGTTTGGTAAATTGAATCTTTTAGGTCAATTAATTAATATTTCTACAGCCCTTTGCTGTTCAGCAAATAGTGCTTTCTCAAAACATGACAACTTTAAAAGAGACTTTGTCTTGTGGTAATAGTTGTTCTTTATGATACACTTTTACACAAACAAAATCACTGTTTTTACGCCATCTATTGCTTACAGAATAATGTCTTTTTATAGTCTAAAGGAAAGAAATGTTTACTCTTGTAATGATGTACAAATGGTGGTAGTAGCTGTAATAGACAAATAGTGATGACAGTCTGAAAGTTAAACGCAACATCATGCAACGTTACATCATAATGTCATTATGGAAATATACCAACCAAGTCCGAGTGTGACACTTAACACATCCCCTCTAACGGGAAAACTATGAATTACAACCAAAGTTCATTAAATTGAGAGTAACAACAGGAGTCTTTATGTAAACCTGGTTTCACAACACGCAGTTTTTTTTTTATTGAGGCCAGTCTAAGATGTAAAAGCGAGGGTAGGTCTTTAAAGACCTGAACTTGATCACCTGCCATACGTTTCTAATCTACAATGGGCCTGCAACCCCACCTCCACTGCAGCAGCATTTCTCTCAATTAAAATCTCTGAGCTTGTAAACTTCTGCAAGATACCATATGTCAGATTGGACCACAGATTAGTGGCAAGCCTCTAAGGTGATTGGAGGGTGGTGGGGTGTAGGCTGCGATAAGGGCCCGGAAATCTCTTAAGAATTTCAGTGCTTAATAATCACACCGGGAGGCCGCATGTTCATGGTTTAGCATCTCACCCTTTCTTTTAGGAACTAAAGGCACTTTGACGTGGAAGACATCAGGCATTGAGCTTGTTCAAAATGTTTTTCACATCAAAAAAAGGAACAGGACCAGTAAGTGACGGCTGGTCCCCTCTCAAAGTACTGTTAAAATAAGAAACCAAGTGCAATAAACCTGACACTTTTCAGCCAATGGCTGTTGGTTCATCTTTATCTTATCAATTTTTTAGAAAATAAAACTCTCTTTATTTTGTTCCTGCTTTTCCTGAATGCCGATGCGGGTTTACATAATTTCCTAAGTCATTTGTTATGCCACAATAAACCCAAATCATATTAAAGTACTTATATTTAAGTAAAGCTTTTATAATGCCAATCCCACTTTTAACATGCTCCTGTTGTTTTAGCAGCAATGGTTCGATTATTTTTAATACACATTTTCTTCATTCAACTTCTAATTTTCAAAGGGTGAAAAAGCTTCTTATACTTCATTAAGCTCAGACCAAGAGGCTGAAAATCCCCACTTACCGCAGGCTAATTGTTGAACAGATCTATGTTTATGGCCATTAAGACAAAGTGCTATATGAGGCTCTAAAGCCAAACCAGCTTCCTGTTTCCCTTTACTACCCTGCCCCCACTACTAGGTGAGAAACTATAACACTAGCCACAAGCCAAGTCAGTAGTTTTGGCATTGGCTGGGATGTTTGTCTGGTTTATGTATTGTTCCATTAAAAAAACAGTGGGAAACATTCTCCCAATCCACTTGGGATGTCGGCCTCATTTACACGTCTGCTGACGTCATAGAGAGGACTACACAAACCATTATATACAGTGGATTTTCCCACCACCCTGCTGTAGTACAGACAGCAGCTCATTGTGTCCATGTCACTGCCCTGACATGTTAGACTTGACTTGATTTTAACCACTAAATATTTGCTGACACTTAAAGACACTTATCGTTCCGTTACACCGTTATTTTTAACTTCCCATGAAACACCAACAACTTGAGGGATTTTACCTACTGGATAACTGTAGACTGAATTGTTGTGATATAACTGAAGACTGCTCTACAAGTTATTTTTTACATCTTGGTTTGGCTGTGTTTCGACATGTTAAGCTAGAGTGTAGTCCTGTCTGTGGTCCTGGTCCTGATAATTACAGCCTTGCCAAAACAATAGGCTACAATAGCCAATTACAAAATCATAAGTGTGAGAAGCAAACAGGCCTAGAAAGCTGCCAATTTGTTCACATAGCCACTTTTAGCTGTAAATCCCCATTTGGAAATCTGCTTTTTTTTCTGTTTAGAGGATCAACATATGAAATACCTGACCTGCTTAACTCATAGGCTACTTACTGGATCCAGGGACTCAGATTTTGAAAAGGGGTTAGTTATGAAGTCAATATAACATGCTACAGTCTACAGCTTGTAAAGTGTATCACCTCGCCTGTCTATTTGTATTGAAATTATGTTTTGTAAATTATCCATTATGAAGACCATGCCAAAAGCTGCGGTGTGTGCCAAGGTTTAGATGATCCACACTACAAATAAACATTTACAAAAAATAAAATAAATGATCATATTGTCACACTTTGACCCCCAAAAGGAAACGTTTTAAACTTTCATAAAGGCCCAGTTGTTGATGCTGTCACATGGACTGGCCTTTATAAACACGTTAAAGGGCAACAGGATTCACTGTGAAAGACATTAAGGGGGGAAAAAGGTGGGCTGAAAATGGACAGGACGTGCCGCCGTCATGAGCAGCAACATTAATATAAAAAAATCCTGTTGATAAGCAGATTTTGGCCCACACACTTATTTAACAGCAAACACATGAGCAGTTGGTTTATCCGATGTTGGATATCCGATACAGTAAAGCACCGGATAATACTGTTAATAATCAGCTTGTAATACCAGCTGACATAGTCATGGTGAATACTGACAGTCTATGGTAGATGTTAGTAGGATACAGCTGAAGTTAAGTTTTGTAGCTTTTTTTTTCTTCTCTTTACAGTCGATTAAAAGCCGGAAAATGTTTTGCAAAATATTAAACAGTGTCGTTAAATTGAAAAAGAAAGATGTTGCCATTATAGTGAGCGTAGGTTAATGTACACTCGGTGACATATGGCAGGTGAGTCCTCTACCACAGCGATAGATTAATGATTAGGAGATTTGATAACCCCGCATCGATTATATTATAAATATATATATTTTTTAAAACGGCGTCATATGAGAAACGAGTAAAACTTTAAAGTAGCCGAAACGAAGAGCCACGTAAAAATGAAACAGAGTTAAAAGGCAAACGAAAGATAAAGAGATGTTAAACTTACCGCATCGGCTTCCGTTCCGTTTTTACTCTGTTTGGAACCGGAAGAAACATTCCTGTTTTCCCCGTCTCTGCATACAGTCTCTCCCCCCCCCCCACACACACAACCTTTCGATTACACACACAGCTGAATACACCAAAAAGAGGAAGCGGGGAGGTGAATCGCGTGTTTATCAGCTATTAAAGTGGTTTCATTACACTGCATGATATCCACGCAATCGGCATTGGCGTGTAATTGTGTTTTCAGAGTTCAGAGTGTTTGAGAGTCACCGCAACGTATAGACGGACAGAGAGAGAGAGAGAGAGAGAGAGAGAGAGAGAGAGAGAGAGGCGTGGATAGACTCTCCGGCTTGCACAGTCAGATCATTGGTTGACAAACAGTAATCAGATGCAAATTCCTAACCTCTGAATCAGCAGGGGCCAGCCCCCTCCTCCCCCCCCCCCCTCCAATATCGCCTCCACTTTTCCAGAGCAGGGGGTGTCAGTAAGTGCAGGGATTGTGAGGTAGGCCTATAGAAGTGGGCTCGGAGAGTTGGGCAACAAGGTGGAGTTGTAGGCTGCAGTGAGAATGTGAATCATTATCTCAAACTTTACTCAAACTGTGCTGCATATGAACCCTCAACCTGACAGCCAGTTAGCCACAATGCAAACTGTAAGAGTGACACTGCGGGATAAATCAGTGTATGTTATTGTAAAGTAGCCTAATACATAAAAAATATATTATAAGATAAATAAGATAAGATATAATTTATTCATCCCAGCAGGGAAATTTAGGTGTTCCAGCAGCCAGCGTACATACAAACACACAACACAACACATATATACATACATATCCCACCCATACAAAAAAAACATGAGCCCACAATACATAGCCAGTGTTTGTATTTGTATTTGTATTCAATTCATTTGCACATTTAGATAGGCTATTAAAAATAATCACTCAGCCTAATACATCATGTAGTTTCTCAAAAGTAAAGATTTGATCAGACAACACAAGCTCTTCAATCTTCATTGAAAGGGTGTTTTTAAAAAAAAAAATTTTCTGGTAGTTTATTTAAGAGTAAAGAACGATTTTATTAATTAAGATTTTATCAAATGATGAATGCCATTTGAAACTAGTTGTTAGTAGGAACTAAACAAGTAATGTTAGGCTATTTGTTTTCTCTTTTTGTTTTAATACATATACTATCCTCTTGTTTCACCTCTAAAAATCTATCAAGTTGTTAATGGAGTCTTTTTTTTTTTTAAAGTCTTCACTAAAAGTAAAGCACAACTAATCTTATTGTAGATAACCAGCCTCTTTTATTTATGTCTTGATGCTTAATTTTCTCAGATTGTATTAACTGGTACACTGTAATTTACTTTCGTAGAGGCTCGCAACACTCCCATAGAGGATATGAAGGTATACTGTACATTGGTCTGTTAAGTTTAGGGGGAATTATTTAACCCACGTTTTTAACCTGCAGAACATGTGTGGATCCCTGCTAACTAAATTAATGAATAAACTGCGACAAATCAATGATTAACCCCCAACACCAGATATTACACAGCTGATGGTAACTGCTGCTTTTATTTGACACAAATGGATATTTAAATAACATGCCAGAATGTCCAAAAGAATAAAATTGTAAATGACACTGCTTCATTTTTTCAACATGTATCACATTAAAACCATAAAAACCTGCTTTACAGGCTAAACACAGTGCATTCAGCATTTTGAGATACAAAATTCCCATTGAAACTCCTTTAGATTCTCCACAGCAGACATTACGTGTTTAGAGTCTAACATCATTTCAAACAATACTACTGAATGAGCCCCCTCTGAAGGTTGAGCAAGGTAAATGTGTTTAGTTGTCACATATTGACAGCACCTAGGAGGATTAATTATACATCACAGAGTGGTAAAATAATACACCAGAGTGTGAGCAAGTGAACAATTTGTATGAACCAAGCTACATAGTTAAAAGTGCATATTTTAAAAGGTAAAAGACTGAAAATAAGCCATTCAGCCACAGCAGTCAGATAAAGTCAGTTAGTCTTTTCTGCCCTCAACCCACAAATGTTTTCAGCATTAAATAATCCCTGCATGGCCATCTCTCTATTCCCAAATCTGACCGTGACAAATGTCCTGTTGGTGCTGAGCGGTTACTGGCTGCAGCTGTTGAATAAAATGAAGACCTTGAGATATTTGCAACATGAAAAATGATCTGCCTCATGACATGGAAAAAGATCCAGGACAGACGTTCCCTGACATAGTGAGAAATTAAATCAGAATTAAACATGACCTGAAGCTAATTTCACAGTTGCTATCAAAATACTTAAACACTTAGTGATGTGTTTCCGCTCATGTTAGTCTGTGCCAGTGAGAGATAAGAACAGAGCATGGCAGCTTTTACAGCCACAATGATGTGAGGATTAAAAACAAGAAAACAACACATCTAAAAAAATACATTATAGGGTATTTGTGCTTTCTGATGTTAATTTCCCACAGTGCAGAAATAATGTTGGCTTTACCGCATCAGTGCATTATGTTAACATTAACCTCACAGTATTACTTTTGTAATATTTTCCATTCCCATGGTTAAAAAAGTAGTTGAAGTGTTTCATGTACAAACCTTAAAACATTTGTTTTCTGTACCCTATATATTTCAGTATTCAATCTTTTTATTTTTTTTTAAAGAGGATTCATCTCTGATAAGCATTTTCACACAAAAACACATCTCTTGTCCTTGATGAATTAATATATACAAATGCAAACACTTGATTGTTTCTTTATTGTTTCAAAATACTCTATGTGTAATTTGAACTTCAGAAAAAATACTTTTACAAGTTAATCTTGAGAAATGAAAGAAATGCAGAAATAATAGTAAAAGCATTGCTGCATAGTGACTTAAATTGTCTTAAATGAACACTTTATGTCAACCCTCCATACTTCATTGATTCTTGTTGGTTCTTCTTTCCACTGTAAAATCCCAACAAGGCAAATTCCCCACGGGCAATAATAGTTTCATTTATTTCCTTCATTCATTCATTTATTTAGCTTGTTTTGCACTTGGAAGTATCAGTCTCTGTTAAGCTTTTGTTTTGAAAACGTTCACACCAAAGCTCAATTTCATGTTCTTTTAATCGCTTACAAACATCATTGAGTATTAACATTATTCTGACTACCCGCAACCATCCCGCAAGGCTGTTTCTGTTAAGATTAAGAACAGTGTCAATATTCAAAACAATAAATCACGCTGACTATCGGACCTGTTTCTTTGTACTGGGGCGCCATCTAGTGGATGGGAATTAAAAAGCTGCGGGGCGTTCCTGTTCTGTCTGAAGTAATGAAAGTTTGCTGTGTATGGTTTTAAATACTTCAGATGTCTTTCAAAGAGATCTCGTGTAATAATATTAATCAGTCTTTACATTTTTAGTTTTGAAATGGACAGTTAAAGCTTCATGATGCATCACGTAAACATAACAGGTAGACGTTAGGTGTGCCAAAGTTTGTGATAATTGTGACGGTGTCCAATATTAAAACGGAATAATAAGACAGCTTCACATTAATATTTGTGAAGTGGTGTTTAACTAGACAGGAAAACGGATTAAGTAAAACAAGAATTGTAGAAATGTAAGATTATACTTTTATCAAACAAAGCTACTGCTTTTTCTGACTTCACAGTGATCAAGGTCCTCAACTGAGGTTTATGATAATGTTCAAAAATACAAAACAAAAGAGAGGAAATATCTTCAATTGTTTAATAGATGCAGTAATAATTATAAATAGGTACTGAAGCACACACATATCATTATATACACACACACAGATGTGTCAGAGTATAAAGCTTTCAGACTATTAGAGGCTCTTCAAATGTTGGCACGAGTCAATTATCTGAGTTCTACGTTTACAGCACCACTAGTTCTACTACTTCTACATGAATCTCAAAGTTGGCAGCACCCCAAGGCGCCGGGGTTTGAACATGAGCCTGACAATCTTTCTAGAAGATACAGTATTTCTTAAATGACACCATGTGAGAGCACTACATGACATTCAGAGTGAGCCCTTTGAGAGCCTGAGAAATAAGATTTAAATGCAACAAACACACAAACTTTGGTTGTTTGACAAAATGCACCAACAGGTCATGTTTTGTTACACTGCCAACGACAGTTTAAAAAAAAAAAATAATATTGTTTTTTTTTTTAAATAACCTGTTTCAAAAATCCAGTCGAGTGCAAATGTAGAAATAAATGTACAGAGAAAAAACATAGAAATCTGTGTTGATAAGGCAGAAGTGCTTTTCTTGAGTTTCAAATGTAAATATTGAAATTAAACAGACCTGAAAGTCTAAACACTGCAGGTTTTTTTAACCATCAAAACACATTTTAAGAGACCATTTTTCCACCGATGTAACACATCTACTGCACACACAGTATAACTCTTCCCCATATCACCTGTACGTAACACCTGTGAAAACAAGGCTTTGACATGACAAGAGCTGTGTGTAAACAGAGTTAGCATTGTGCATATTACAAGAAATCCATGAATCAATCTGAACGTACAGTTTGTAACTGACGTGTAGTTCCTTACATTGTTAGAGACCATGACTGAAGTAACGTTTACACTTTCTCTACACATGTGCAGTGAAAGCAGACTGCAATCATCTGTTATGTTTTGTAGTTAGAGACTTACAGACTTGAGGCCTGTATATGGTTTGTTCTCAGTAAATTCTGCATCTATACATGGATAGTTTGGTGGTAAAAATGTAAAAACATCCTTCGGCCTATGTCTTCAATTTTTTTTTGCTGAAACACATCTGGTGAAGAAAACAAGGCTTCACAATGCTCGAAGAGAAAGATAAACAAAAGTTGATTATGTGGAAATTGTAGCTAAAGAGAGAGTATGACGTTTTTTTCTTTTAAATGACACATAGAAAATGATCAAGGAAGATCTTCATGTCCCGAGTATATAACAAAGAGTTATTTCACATCCTTGTTGCTAGACACGTGCGTACCTAAGATGATGAGTGATGACACAGATTATTCATATTCATGCTTCATTACCTCGCACTAATCCTACAGGCTACTCATTCAGGCTGAGATGCGTTACATTGAGTTCTCTGTTTCACAAAGTCCTTTATACAACAAGGATGGGTTACGCGTTCATTTTACAATATGTTGTGTTTACAGTTCATATTACTTCATAACTGTGATGACTTTGTGCTTTGATGAATTGACCAAATTGACAGCAATAACCGAGTTCTCACCAACCAGTGGTGACA